CATCATAATGATCCTGAGAATCTATCTCTTCTGAGATTCAATTCACTATGGGAAGACGCTTATCGACGCGATTCACTTCTTGTTTTTTCGACCGGAAGATCAAAAACAATGTACAAGAAACTAAGGAAACAGAGACCATTGTTAACTCCTGATGTTATCATTACATCTGTAGGAACTGAAATAGCTTATGGTAACTCAATGGTTCTTGATGATAATTGGGTTGAAATCATGAACAATAAATGGAACCGAAGAATCGTCGAAGAAGAAACTAAAAAGTTCCCTGAGTTAACTCTTCAGGTACCTTTCTGATTTAACATACAACAAAAGTCTCTCTACCTAACATGATTTTTGTATGACTAGATTCTTGATCAATGTTTGTAGTCAGAAACTGAACAGATGCCATTCAAGGTTAGCTTTCATGTTGACAAGAGTAAGGTTAAGGAAGTGACTAAGGAGTTATATCAACGGTTGGAGAAACGTGGGGTAAGATTTGGTTAATCTTGAGATCTTGTTTTGGCCTGTCTATTTCGGGTTGGGTAACCCAGCCCTACCCTTATCTGAACTTTACGCGTAGAGGTAAATGAAATTACCCGTTTGGATAAGAGGATTCATCCTAGCGGATAAATCTTGTGATCTTGGTTAATCTTGTGATCTTGTTTTGGCTTGTCTATTTCGGGTGAGGTAACCCGGCCCTACCCTTATCTGAACTTTACGCGTAGAGATAAATGAAATTACCCGTTTGGATAAGAAGATTTATCCTAACGGATAAAGGTATGGACCGGGTAATTACCCATAGTACTGACTACTGAATTACCCATTAGGATAATTTTAAAAATTATTTAAAACTATTTAAAAAATAATCAAAACTATACTTTTTCAAAATTATTAAAAGTTTCTAAAAAATTATCCACAACTTTTCCAAAAAGAATTACCTGTCGTTTTCCAATATGTAATTACCCGAATCCGAATCTAACACTTATCCATTCGAGTAGCGACTTTAGGTATCCGAACTACCACTACACTATCCGTTATTTGCATTACGTGACCCATTTTTGTAGGGTACAATTCGAGTAGTAATTTTCGATACCTTACTTACCCGCAATGAACACGTCTAGTCTTGTTAATTTGTTTTTACAACTTGTTATATGGCTGTGGTTTTTGGTCTTAATTGCAGTTGGAAATCAAAATAATTTTCAGTGGAGGAATAGCTTTGGATGTTTTACCACAAAGTGGAGGAAAAGGACAGGCTCTTGCTTATCTGTTAAAGAAGTTAAAGATTGAAGGAAAACTTCCAGTTAATACTCTTGCTTGTGGAGATTCCGGAAATGACACTGAGCTATTTACCATTCCTAATGTGTATGGTGTAATGGTTAGTTTCACAATCTGAATCTTTGTTTTTTTAGTC